GTCCGCAATCACAAAAACCTGATATTCTACGAGGTTTTTGAACAACTTTACAAACTCATTTGGAAAAGTGTTTGCAAATGGAAAAAAGTGGAGACAAATTGATACGTAATACAATAGAGCAAAGTGATCAGATTTGTGGCATCATAGACAGGAAAACTGTGACGGCGTCTAATTGTTGAAATTGTATGTGATGAGACCGACAACGTCTGCGCCGCACCGTAAAAACATTTTATTTTCCCCTCTATTGATACTTGCGGGTATTAAAATATGGTCGCTAAATGGAAAAAATGCGAGAAAAGAATTGGACATAAGCTTGATAATGATTATCAAAGTATGTTGCAAATATATATTTGACAGTAGCACTGAAACATGACGGTGATAATACAAACACAATTTGTATTGGTTTTAAAAATATCTGCAATTTCTCCAATACAGGATAGTTCTCATCAATAATTTCTATTAAGATAATTGATCCTCTTTTAAAAGCACTATGTTTCCAAAACTAACACTTTTTACTTAAGTACAATTTTTATAATTTTTTATGAAATGACAATTCTGTTAAATATAATTGCTTGTTTTGATAGTAAATATGGTAAATTTTCGATTGCAAAAGAAAAAAATTGCTTAACATTATTTGTGTTTCAGCAATACACTATGTTATTTCTATACTAATCACGTGCTGGGTGTTTTAAAAGGGACGATGTTTAGCTTCAAATCTCATTGCCATAGCTTCCGGAGCGGCCACAATTTCATATTTTGAGGATAATGCAATTAGAAATCTTAGGATAAAATTTCTCAAACAATTTGATGTATAAACAAAAGTTAAATTAACGAAGTTTTCTAGTAAACTGTGTCGATTTGAACGCTGATAGAAGTGTAATAGGGAAAAATTTTTGAAATAATCAAATGCTGTTTTAACACTGTCAATTACCATTGCAGCTTACAATATCAAAATCTAAACCGCATTTAATACAAAATTAAGCATTATCAGAAGCTCAACAGAAGTAGCTAAAAAAAGAAAACGAGTCTTCCAAAGTATAGTAAAGATTTAATATGAAAAAAATTATAAAAATTGAAAGGTCAGGCCATGTTTAAAGTATCTAAAGAAAAACTGATCTAATAATAAAATTATCACGAAAAGTAACTGATATGTTATTATACATGCCAGTTCAAAGTAAATAAAGTGTTATAATATCAATTTAGTAATTATAAGCATGAAAACTTGATATTTTACTCTTGCAAGTTCACACAATATAATACATATAAGTAAAATATTACAATTTGATTCTAGAAAATAAGTGCATATTTATTCTTAGTGCACAAAATATAATATCGTTTATAGAGATTTAATTTGAGATTCATACTAGCCCGATACTTAAAAAATTGCTCGTAATTGTAGAGTAAAACTTTGAATGAATCCCAAAATAACATGTAATCCTGTTATCAACTATAATTAATGCAATTTGAATATACGAATATTTCAGACTATTATTAAGAAATACTTTTGATCTAGAAATCTTTAATTATTAATTAAATTATAAATTCAACATTTAAAAATTTCTAACACACATGATATGTAGTAATATTTGTCCACAAACGATAACTTTTTTAAGAGCTTTTATTAATACGTGTTATCAATGAGAAATTACAATAAAAAGTGAAAGCAATAAAAGATGTATTTGTTTAATAAACAAATGGTCTGTAACATAGTAACGAAGGTGTAAAAACGTATAAGGTGTAAGTGTATATGTGGTGTAAGTGTAGATGTAAAAATGCTATAGTTAATGCTGCAGTAACGCCACAGTACTCCCCCCCAAGCGACGACTACGTTGCGAAATGGACTTTCTTCTTAGCTGGGTAAGTTCGTAGTGGTTTTCCGAAAGAAGCAGTAGAAGAAGTACTATGATCATCCATGACTGATGTGGTTGTAGGAACTGCAGGTACAACTGATGGTACAACAGATGTGGTTGTAGATGTAGATGTAGACGAAGTACTCGAAGAGGATGAATGAAGAACAGAAGAATCTTCCTTGGGAAAAAAGGCTGGTTTCAGACGTTCCGTTGAGACGTTGACCAATTTTCCTGAAATGTCAATAGTAAACAAAAAATCAGAAATTCGTTTGTTAACAAGAAAAGGACCAGAATAAGGTGCTTGAAGAGATTTCTTAACAGCATCTTCACGAAGCCAAACATGAGTACAATCGTAAAGATTTTTGTGTACAAAAGGTGATTTTTTGGAGTGATGATGGGTAGGAGAAGATCTAATATTCCTCATATGTATTCTATGTTTCTCTAAAAATATTTCAGGATCTGCTGGAAAATCTTCCTCAATAAAGAATTCACCAGGAATCCGAAGAGTAGTTCCATAGAGTAATTCAGCAGGTGAAGTTTTCAAATCTTCTTTGAAACACGAACGAAGACCAAGAAGAACAGTAGGTAAAGATTCCAACCAATTCTTCGTCTGATGACACATAATTGCAGTCTTAACAGTCCTATGCCATCTCTCCAGAATTCCGTTTGAAGCTGGATGATAAGCAGAAGTTCTCTTGCGATCACATCCAATCAAATTAGTTAATGCTTTAAAGAGAGATGCTTCAAATTGTGGGCCTTGATCTGTAGTAATAGTTATAGGAGATCCATATCTAGCCACCCAATGAGAATAGAAAGCTGTCGAAACTGTTTCAGCAGTTATTTCTTTAAGTGGAATAGCTTCAGGCCACCTCGAGAATCGATCTATTATTGTTAAGCAATAACGGAAATCTTGACAAGAAGGAAGAGGGCCTATTAAATCCAAATGAACATGTTGAAAACGCTGATCAGGAACCGCAATTTTAACAGGGACATTTTTTGTATGTCTTGAAATTTTGGAACGTTGACAAGGTAGGCAAGAGCGAGACCACTCTTTAACGTCTTTATTCAATGACGGCCAAATAAATTTCTGTAGAAGTTGTTTAGCTGTAGTTCTACCGCTGGGATGTGCGAGGCCATGAACTACATCAAAAATTCTCTTACGAAGAGGTTTAGGAACGTATGGACGAATTAACTCAGAGGAACAGTCACAATATATAGGTACAGATGAACCAGTAAGCATAAGTTTCCTTAATTGAAGTGAAGAGTTCAAAGAAAGGAGATCTTGAAGTTCTTCATCATCCTTTTGAAATTCTGCTAATTCTTCCAGAGAGACAATGATTGGCATTGAAACTGATTCAATTCTTGATAAAGCATCAGCTACAGAATTTAACTTGCCTGAAATGTGGACAATATTAGTAGAGAATTGAGCAATAAGATCCAGTTGCCTAATTTGTCTAGGTGAAGCTTTGTCAGGTTTCTGAAGAAAAGCATAAATTAAAGGTTTGTGATCTGTCCTAATAATGAGTTGTCGTCCCTCAAGCAAATATCTGAAATATTTAATTGCTAAATAAATGCTTAAAAGTTCTCTATCGTAAGTACTGTAGTTCTTTTGAGTTTTATCAAGTTTTTTAGAAAAGAATGCAATTGGTTTATTGACATTTTCAATTGATTGTTCAAGTGATGCTCCTACAGCGAAATCAGAAGCATCACAAGTAAGAATCAAAGGAACTTGAGGAGCAGGATGAGAGAGAGTAGTCACACGGAGAAGTTCTTCTTTGCAATTCTGAAAAGCTGCTTCTGTCTCCATAGACCAAGGAATAGTTCTCCTATCTCTCTTGCGACTGTCCTTCAAAAAGTTTGTAAGTAATGCTTGATGTTCAGCTGCGTTTTTAAGGCAACGACGATAATAATTAATAATACCAATAAATCTTCTTAAATCATGTATTGTCTTAGGTTTGGGATAGTCGATAATTGATTTGACTTTTTGTTCTGTAGGTTTGATTCCTTGATTAGAGACAAGATATCCGAGAAAAGTAATTTCTTTTTGACCAAAAAGACATTTGGAAACATTAAGTGACAATCCAGCTTTCTGTAGACGATCAAAAACAATCCGCAAATGAGCTATGTGTTCTGACTCATCTCTAGAAGCTATGAGAATATCATCAAGATAGCAAAATGCAAAATCTAAATCATTTAACAATATATTCATAAACCTCTGAAAAGTTTGAGCTGCGTTACGAAGACCAAAAGGCATAACCAAAAATTCGAAAAGTCCAAAAGGTGTAGTTACAGCGGTCTTAGGAATATCTTCCTTTGCAACGGGTACTTGATAGTACGCTTTAACCATATCAATCTTAGAAAAGATATTCTTACCGTAGAGCTCCGCAGTGAAATCCTGTATGTGAGGCAATGGATATCGATCAGGGACAGTGACCGAATTTAACGCACGATAATCTCCACAAAGTCTCCATACATTTTCCTTTTTTGGAACCATATGTAAAGGTGCTGCCCACGTACTGCATGATGGTCTACAAATACCTTGGTCCATCATGAATTTAAATTCTTCTTTAGCATACTTCAGTTTCTCCGGAGAAAGTCTTCTGGGAATTGCAAATTTCGGAGGACCTTCCGTAACAATCCGATGTTCAATTCCATGTGAGTTTACCGATGAAAGAGGGGCAAAATGAGTAAGTCCTTGAAATTCTGCTAAAATCTTGTGAAAAGAAGAATCTGGAGATGTGGTACAAATTGATAATTGCAAAACTTCTTGTATCTTTCCACAGTTTTTAAGACCTGTTAAGGAATCAATTAGACGTTTGTTTTTAACATCTACAAGGAGATTAAAATGTCCGAGGAAATCTGCGCCTAAAATGGGACGTTGTATGTCCGCCACGCAAAATTTCCAACGGAAAATTCTCCTGAGACCAAGATCCACGGAAAGAGTTTTAGATCCATAAGTATCAATGTGTGTTCCGTTAGCAGCAAAAAGTTTTAAATTGGTTGATAACGGTTTGTATAATATTTTCTTGGGAAGCAAAGAAATGTCAGCACCAGTGTCAACAAGAAATTGTAAATTAGACGACTTGTCAAAAATAACGAGGCGATGACAAGGTAAACCGTTGCGAGTTGCCTCTATCTTCAACGGTATCTCTAGTTTTCCGTTGAATCAGTGAGACAAAGAGTTTTTGACTTAGTACAAGGAATTGTACATTTCTTTGCTTTATCTCCAAATTTCTTGTGATAAAAACAAATTTGTTCCTTAGAATCCGACTTTTTATCTTTTGAATTAGATCTTAATCTTGTTTTACTTCGAGATCGACTAAAAGATCTACCGCGACGACGAAAAACTTCCAGCGCAGCAATTCTTTTTTCTAAATCGGCAAGATCCGATTGCTTTGATTTTAAAGAAGTATTTACTTCGGTTATTTGATACCCGGTATCACGTTCGACTATTTTATCAGCGAGTTCAGCTAGCTTGATTAAGGGTACGTCCTCAACAACAGCTAAAGTCGCTTGAACTTTGTATGGCAAACGTTGAAGCCAAAGTGAATGTAAAATATTATCCGCTAAAGATCCACCGGATAATTGGCGTATCTCTCGTAAAAGCTCCGTTGGTTTTTTATCATTCAATTCAATTCCGGCTAATAATTGACGTAAGCGTTTTTCTTCTGAATCCGTGAAGCGATTAATGAGCGCCGATTTTAAAGCGTTATATTTATCATTTTCGGGTGGATTTTCAACAATTTCCGAAACGACAATTAATGCCTTTTCATCGAGATGACGGATAACAGTACTATATTTTATTTCTTCGGAACGTATACGAAATACCAAAAATTCGCTTTCGACTTGAGCAAACCACAATTTAGGTTGCTTGTGCCAGAATGTGGGAAGTTTTACCAGACGAAATTCATTAGAATGGATCTGAATGGACTCACCAGATTGCTGTTGCATATTTCCAGAGGGTGAATTAAAAATTTCCGATCCCACCTGATTTAAAATGTTCTCTTTCGAAGATGTCAAAGCAGTTGAAGTAGACGGAACAGTAGAGTTAGTTGTCTCAGTTCTAGGAGGAGATCTATCCAAAGGCATCTCGATTGATATTCCGATGACGAAAAGAAACGATCCGGAAATCCAAGTCCGAAGATTCTTGACCACGTATAGAAATTTTTCAAAAATTCAGAAATTGAATTTCCCGCTCAAGAGAATATTCCTGTGTTGATCACTGATCACGTCGGGGTCACCAAAATGTAGTAATATTTGTCCACAAACGATAACTTTTTTAAGAGCTTTTATTAATACGTGTTATCAATGAGAAATTACAATAAAAAGTGAAAGCAATAAAAGATGTATTTGTTTAATAAACAAATGGTCTGTAACATAGTAACGAAGGTGTAAAAACGTATAAGGTGTAAGTGTATATGTGGTGTAAGTGTAGATGTAAAAATGCTATAGTTAATGCTGCAGTAACGCCACAATATACTGAACAAGAAAGATGTTATCTAATTTTGAATACAATTCTGGTGGTAAACATGGTATTGAAACGTATATTCCATTTAATTTATATATACCAGGATGTGATCCAAGTAGATTTCCTATTTCAAAAGCATCTTTGTATAAAAATAAAGGAATTGTTATCGATGTACTATTTGAGATTTTTAATTTTCAGAAATCAGATTGTATAATATTATAAATTTCATTATTATCATCCTTAATTAATATGTCAATATATATACTTGCAAGTTTTTTCAAATATATCATCTATTTCGAAAAACGATTTTAATAATTTTCTTAATGATATCAATTGTTCATATCATTACATTTTCAGTTTTTAATACATTATTATTTCTTACATCCATAATTCCAAAGAATATTCGTTTAGGTTTAATATAATATCCAAGATTAATTAATAGTTTGTTTCGTTTATGTTCAGTATCAAGATCGCTGAAAACATTTTGCAATAGTTTAAATTTTTCTATTGTATGATTCGAATTTGTTTCCATAAGAGATATACAGTTTTTTAAATCATTTACATAGTTTGAGTTAAGAAATAAATGAAATATATGTGCAATTCGATCAATTTGAATTCGAGATAATGTAGCATCTAAATGTAGTGAAGAAATCATTTTCAGTGCAAGTATACAAAGTTCATTTTGTGTAGCTTCAATGTTTCTAAATGAAAAGTCTTTATTAAAAACTATATTATTGTTTTCAGATTCGGTTTTATCATTAGAAATATTTACTACTTTCAGACATGTTTTGTTCAATTTTGACGTTTGTATTTCAGATTCAAATTCTATTTCATTATTAAAAATAGTTTCTTCTTTTTCAAAATGTTTGCAACGTCTTTTATGCTTATTAAGTGTTTTGTTATGTGAGTAGGAACGATTACAATTTTTAAATTGACAAACATATTGGATAGAATTCAAATATGCATGATGCTCAAATTGCATAAGTGATTTTAAATATTTTTTAGAAAAGAAATTAGAACAAAATTGACACTTTAACATTATGGATGTATATACTGACATTAAAAAATAAAAAAGATATTAAACATAAAAGTAACATAAGTTTTTAAAATAAAGCAATACGTTTTTCAAGGGGTCTAAATTTTAAATTTAGGTAAAAATTCTAAATTTATTGAAGAACTACTCGCTATATACTGCATATATCCGCAGATTCACTTCTGTTCGTTTAAAAAAAATGTTAAAGATTTGTCAGCATGTCTTAAGCCGTTATTATTTTTTTTGTTTCTAGGAATATTTTTTAACATTAATAAATAAATATAAAGTTTTTTTAATTATTGGCATTTAATTTTTAACATGTTGTTCCATATATTTAAAGAAAATTCGAATGCTTTCTATCAAAAATATAATATAAGGAAATATTAAATATTATACGAGAAATATATTACTATTAATTGAACACATAAATAAATTTACAATAATAATTTTTTTTTAGACGAACGCTTGAGAAGCGCATTCTCTCGCTTTAGCAGAATTTGTTTCTAATTAAGTACTACACATAAAAAAATTTGCACTAGTTCATCAGGAATAGAAAACTAGCTATCTTTTTTTAATTAAATTTCTCGTTTATTATAAAAAAATTTGCACTAGTTCATCAGGAATAGAAAACTAGCTATCTTTTTTTAATTAAATTTCTCGTTTATTCAAAACGACGATTTCTAATGTAAATATCTCATAATTCTTTCATTTGTTTGCGGTCTTTTGAATTTGCTCTTTGCCGGCTTAAGCACTTAATCCTTTGCGAATTTCTCAAAACGTCCGCTCCTATTGTTAAAGAAATATGTGGGGCCGCCGACAGTCGAGGGATCGAACCATTGGCTTGGCGATTAGCCACTCAATGACTTTTACACGTAGCCACGTGCTGTCCCATCTCTTGATACTCGATTGAGACGGCAGGTCTTTAAGTAAGTTTGAATCCTTTCAGTCAGCCGTATAACAACGATTCGGTAGCAGCGGTATAGCAAGGTCGTTTTAAGGCGATCATTGGGTCATCGGCTTCGATTTGCTGACATTGCACGCATCAGGAGCAGGCACGCGACTAGTGTCCGGAAATTTCAGATTTAGAGAAACAAGATTTATCGTGAGATGTACAACGTGAACATCTGTTCTCGCGAGCACTTGACGAATCTGAAAGAAATTGGCAGAGATTCTCTTCCTACACGTATGGATTATCAGATCGACGCGAGGAACGAGAAGGCTCCTGAGAGGATGGAGTATGAGCTGGAGGTGCGCGACGTCGAGATGAGGCAGCAACAACCCTCCTCGACTTTTGAAAATAGAGCAATTACACCTATGGATTATCAGATCGACGCGAGGAACAAGGAGGCTCCTGAGAGGATGGAGTGTGAGCCGGAGGTGCCCGACATCGAGATGAGGCAGCAATAACCCTTCTCGATTTTTGAAAATATAATAGCAAATACGGAAGTATTTAGTTCTGTATTTGCTATTATATTTTTAATCGACCAGAAGGTCGAATCATCAGGCGCATGTTTCCCAACTGTTAAATGGCACAAAGGCACAGGCATTACGTAGATAACGCGTTCAATATATACAACATCAGTGAGAATAGCAATAACTGTAATGAGTTATTGCTATATATTTTTACTGCTGTTGTATATATTGACTCTATTCTACATAGACTCTGAAAACGTGCAAGACTGTTCCTTTTGTTCGAGGAATCATAAATCTTTCACAAATTACAATCGTGACAACGGCTGCAGCTTCAGCAGCGCAAACAACAACACTGCAACGTGGTTTTGCAGAATTAGTTATGACGACAATCATTAATTACAACACAATCAAATGATTGGTGACGAGAAAAACCCCTCTACACCAAGGATTGTGGACGCCGAGAACCCATCACAACCGTATTATAATATATTAGAAGATATCGATAGGGAGTTCGAGTGGACTTCCGAGGAAGAGGAAGAAAAGAGCGGTATGGATATAGAAGAGGAAACCAATTCGGCGTCTTCTTCGACGGATACCGCACCCTCGGATTATGAAGAGGAAGTGCCTCTCGTAGAACTTTCTATATGTCCAGATCTTCCAGAAAGATTAGTGAACTCGCAGATATATATACCTGCGAGTTCACTAATCTTTCAGGACGATCTGGACGTTATGCAGAATGTCGAGGTCGAAACAAGCGAAAAGCTTGACGAGCCAAGTAAGTCATTTTTATTAAATTTTTTTATTCGGCTCGACAATTTTTGATAAATCTTGTAGCGTAGACTTTGGATTGTTGGTATGATTTCTATCAATTTCTTGAATCCTTCCTCTCCGTCATAAATTTTTTATGAAAATATTGATAAATCGATCTGTAGTACTGTAGTTAGATATTTGTAAAACGAACGACAATTGATCTGACAAAAATTCTTATTATCGCATAATAATTATGTTTAATGAACGGAAATTTCTCATGTCTTATATGCATAATAATTTAATGGATTATTAAAATATATATTTTTTAAATAATATACCTTTATAGAATGAATAAATCTTTAAATAAATCCTTAAATATAATAAGTTATATAATATAAAGGAATACGAAGGATAATATCGTGAGAAATGCAAGATTTGAAATCCATGTATTATATTTTTATGCAGAAAAAAATGCTCTTTGTTTTCAAGAATTAATGTCATCGTATCGTCAAAAAATCCATGCTAAAATCTTCATAGACATTATTTTAACAGAAGAATTTTAATAAAATAATATCTTTGCCATATAACAAATTTTTTAATTATTTTGTTTTATTTTATTTTATTAATTATTATTTTTTATTTTATATTTTCGAGTTTGTCAATTAATTTTTTTACATTATATTTTTATTGGTAAGAGCAGTCGCCCGGAAAGTGAAAGACGCGCGTTCGATTCCTGCTTCAGCGACCTTTTCGGACCTATATTTTTCTCGCCTATTATTCTCCAAGTGCAAGTGTTATGCGAGTTCGAGATTAATTTATATATGGAACTTAGTAATTTTAAACCAAGAGATATAGTTCCGAGGAATTAATTTTTCGCGTTTGGGCTCTATTGGCCGATTTAAAAATTCATGTGTTATTATTATTAATAATATTGAGAGCCGATATATATTTCTTATTTATTTCTATACTTATTTGAAAGAATTAATAATGAGTTTCTTCAATTATATTATATTAAAATATAATAATATTGTTTTTTTGTATAAATTATAAATGTATTATTTTTAAATTAAAGTATTATTAATTTTTATGTTAATTTGTCATCAGTTGTAATTACCAAAAATATATTTTTTTATATGAAAATCAAAATTTCTTTGTTTTTTGTTATTATATATATTAAAAGAATTAGCAAACAAAATTCTAATTTAACTGAGTTAATTTTTTGTTCATAAAACTTTTATAATTTTGTAAGCAACTAACTTTAACTTAACTTAGTTTAAAAAAATCATTAACTTACTCAACCCTGGTATTTTCTAATAAATCTGTTATTACCTAAAATATGATAATTCTATTTCGGACGGTTACGTGTTTTTTATAGCGAAAGGGAGGATCTTAATCACTTTCTCTTATTGGTATTATATACAACGG